GGGGTGTACTCATAGTCGTGCATGCCGTAGTCGTTAGACCATTGACCTCGCATCCCTACAAAGCCGGGACGGAGCACGCCGGGTTCTCACCGTACCAGGCTTTCACATCACCAAGCGCGAAGCGCCGTGAGATATTCGGTGAGTCGCATGAANATCGACCACCATTATGAATACCGCCAAAAAAAAAGAGGAAAAAAAAAAAAAACGGTAAACTGGTTGCCGAGTTCACGAAGTGAATTGGCNTGCTGCATCCTGCTAAGGGCGTTCGGCACCTTGCGCTTAATTCCTTGCATACGGATAACAGCTGCGTATGACTTACTTTATTTTCTGGTCCGTTCACTTCCAGAGACAGTTGCAAGCACTGTGTAACTGCCTCGAGGGTGCTTGACCATTTTAACACAACGTGGTGCGATCATCCCCCTTGCGCGGAGTGAGGGTTCACCCCGCACAACATGATCTACTCAACCATCATTATGGTTACCGCCCAAAAAAAATAAACGGAGGAAAAAAAAAAAAACGGTAACCTGGTTGCCGAGTTCACGAAGTGAATTGGCTTGTTTTACAACGTCGTTGCCAAGCGACGAAAACCCAATCCCGATGGCAAACACCGGGGGGGGCGGCTTGTTTTACAACGTCGTTGCCAAGCGACGAAAACCCAATCCCGATGGCAAACACCGAGGGGGGAAGGGGGGTTGCCGAGGATTCTTCTTGAGAAGGACCGTTGTTCAAGTCCTGCAAGGAACCACAGCTTGGCCACATGCACACATGCGCCACAAGCGACGACAACGACATCGAATTATCTCGAAGGGGAGGTCAATACCCAAGGCTCGAGGATCTGCAAGGTGAAGAGCGCGGTCAACAAAAGGTACAGTAGGCACGCTGCGTCAACAACAGGTAATCCGCAGCGAAGAAAACTTCAGGAGTTGTACAGGGCAAGACAGAGGCACAGCCGTCGAAGCCCCGAGCCCCTGTCTCTTACGGAAAAGAAACACGTGCAGCGCAGCTTAGCACCGACACCAATAAAAAAAACTTGACTCACTGATCGAGTATGTGCGAATTCTTGATCTCCTGGTTCAGCCGGCGAGCCACCCCGATGTGAGACTCGGGCGAGTCGAAAGCGGCTTCGGTGGGGGTCCGGATGATCTCGGCGCCTAGGGCCTTGAGCACATCCACCTTCAATGCCGATGGCAACGTTGACGGCCGTAAGAAAGCGCGAAAACCTACGCAAGAAGCATGCGGCCACCAAAGGCATGGCGAAGTCTTCACTGGTGGTGTGAGCATCTTGTACATGGTGCATGGAATATCGTTCATAGAAACAGTTTTCGATACTTAAAACCTTGTACCTGGTGCATGTGATATCGTCAATAGAAAATAATTTTCAATATTTCTAACCATGGTGAATGCGGTATCGAAAACAGAAATAATCCCTAAATATCCCTGCTGTTAATCTTATCTTGTGAAGGGTCCATATATAATCGAAAATTGAAACACTCTAAGATATTAAGTCCGACCAATGAAATAAGAGTGCGAAGTATTCGGAGGGGTCGCCGTGCGTGGCGGAGGCGCCAAAGGACTCCCGGCCGGACAACGGTGTTCGGTTGCTGCTGCTCGAGTTGGCGTTCTGGTTGTGATAATACCCACGCGCGGGATGCACCGAAAACATACAAAGCGCGGAGAGGGGGGAGGGGATGGGGTACTCGTCCGGAAGAGGGGAAGAGTACCCGCACCCTTACGCACGCGAACAACACATATGAAACTCGCATCCGCTCGACACCACTAAGAAACTTGACGCACCCGTACCCCCCCCCCGTGCACGCCGCCCCAACACCCTCCGTCGCTGTAACATATTCTCTCAAGCCTCGGGGCTACGTGCGTCTGTCTCGGTGTGTCTCTCTGTATTACTAGCATGGACCGCCCTAACCCGCTGATCAACGATTAGACCGAAAATTCTTCTAGAGGTCATGATTTAGGGACCCCGTGAGGGGGGCGCCATGGGGGGGGCTGAGCTTCCCTCCGGGTTCAAGACAGAATCGGTTGTAGAAAGCGGAAGAACCCCACACGTATTCTATCCACCGCGGCTGCCACTTTGTACTAGTGTTCGTTTTCTGCCCTCTTTGCTTGTTGCATGTTTCCCTCTTGAGTGGATTACACCCCTCGCCAACATGTTTACCGTTACTCCTGGGTATCGCTCTGTGCCTCCCGCGTTTGTCGCGCAGAAGGTCCTCCGGCTCAAAAATTGTTGCGCTATGTGTGTACCTCATCAATTAGCATCGACCGCGGTAAGCGGCTGGCTGATGAAAATACGCCAATCGTTTGTAGCGGAATTAAAACGCCAGCACGGTTCTCAGTCAAAAGGACTCTACCGGT